AAAGGGAGTAAGAAAGCCCACAGAACTTATGCCGTTAGGCCCCAGGGGCTGCTTGGGGCATGGCCAGAAGCCAGACTCTGCCATTGGTGCACAACAATAAGACTTGATGTCCAAGTAAAAGTTTCTGAAGAGCCAGAGTGAGCCATAGATGGGCATAATACTTCTAAATGGCTTTTTCACATACAAAGACCCTAGTAATGATAATTAATACTAATTATTTCCAATGGGCCAGGAGTGTGTTAATTGATTCACCTACAGGACCCAACCCCACTTGCATTTCATGTCAACCCTGGGTGCATACCTGTCCTATACCCCGTGTCCCAGAGGAGGAGCTGCAGCACAGGGACTGAGTTGCTGCTGAGGTCAGGCTGCTAGGAAGCACAGAGCCCACACACGGTGACCCAGGTATGTCGCACCCACGGCTAGACAGATCCAGCCAGGATATTGGAATTCTGTCATTATACTTAGCCCAGGCTTTTTTATTTATACTTTGCCTTAGAGAACTCACCTAATCTCTGTGAAACAAATTCCATGACCCATATCAAGGGAAATAATAGTGAGCCATTCTGCAAGAATACTTAATGAAAGGTGCTTCTCTCACATTTTCCCCAGGTAGTGGACCTTGCTGAGCTATGTTTTGGGTGAAAGTATAATCCAAACCTAGTCAGGAATGAGATCAAGACTCTCTGGTCCATTTTCAGGTCTTTAGATAAAAGTCTTCTTGGAGTCAGAGCTTCTGTAACTTCTGTACCAGGGGCCCAGTTATGCAACACTTTTGGCTTATGTATGTGTTAAATATAGGTCAAGTTCAATTAAAAAGGCCAACTTTTCAATCTCCTCAAGATTAGCTGGTTGGTTTTTTCACAAAGAAATTGGATGAAATCATTCCACTATTTTCTTCTCCTCAGTCTAAGGGCATTTCAGTCCTTGCAAGCTCACCTGTCTTCTGTAAGGTAAGGCTTAAAAAATTCTCAAAATTGGGATCAGGAACTTGACTGTGCTATAAAGTATTAAACTTTGCAACAGGCTCAAGGTTGGTCTTCAGCCAATAGGACTGCTGTCCAAGTATTTAATATATATTATTAATACAAAGTGAAAAGGAAGTTTATGGAAAAGGTAACATACCAAGATATTTGTGATACAATGCCTGCTATTTTACAAAAGCATTCTTGCTACAATTCCTGAGCTATGCATCAAAATTCTGTGAAAGAGCTGAACTGCCATCAACTACTTTTGCTTTAGCCATTCACTTTGGAGATGGGTTTCATTTAAAGCTAGAACTGGTATAGTGACGTGCTGCAATGGGCTGACCCACAAAAAGCCAGTCACAAAATAGAGTGGCCTCCACCTCCTACTCCTTCAGGCAACTAGACCTTTAGGCAACTATAGGTAGGCAGGGGTTCTGGAATGTTGTGTTAGCAGCCCTGACACCAACACATGCATGCATAGTTTGTTCCTATTTGATTTGCATAAAGAAGGGGACCTCATGCAGCATTCAATAGAAGTAATTTCTCTGCCAGGAGTCCCAAGACAATCCTTTACTGTGAGATTAGCCAGAAGGGGCACATGTGCACATCCAGCAATGTTTTAATAAATAAGTCATTTGTTATTCTTACCTTCATTGTTGCATCCAGATTAATTTTAAGATTCTTCTCTGAAACCATTATCCCTCCACAGAGAGAAGAGAATGAGTTACTGACAACCATAAAAGAGGATGGCCATGAAATATAATCTATGATGGAAGTTTACAGATGTGATAGATCCATTTATGTATAGAAGGCATCTGAGAGTGCCTCTGGCTTCTGAGACTATGCCAGAGGACCTGGGCCACGAGGGCTCTGTGCCTGCAGGTCCCCATAATTTTCACTGACAGCTTCCCAAGAAAAAAATGTGGGTGTGTGAAATAACTAATAGACATTATTTAATAAGTTATAAAATAAGAGTTATTGGCCAAAGGCTTCAAAGAAGCCAGGGTAGGTCTGCTGAGAAGTCATGTGGTCATCTGGGAAAAATTCACTCATTAGTGAGGTGCAGAGTCTGTTACACCCTTTGAAAAGTACATCATAAACAGACACTCATGGTTAGGTCTGCAAGGTGGGACTGGGGTGGACAGGCTCCTTTCATTAACTACTACACATGCTATTTTCACAGTAAGAGAGACAAAAATGCAAGCAAAAATAAAATATCTCATAAATAAGCTCTTTATTTCTTTTCTTTGTGTAAAGTTATATTCTCCTAAGTGAAGTTATAAAGTTGCAGCATCTGAAAAATAAACCATGGTACAACCTACAATGTTGAAAGGTAAAAGCTACCTAGGCTCAAGAGGAGAATTTCCTTATTAAAAAAAAAAAGTCATGGCAAATCACAGTTCTGACATGCAGGCCTTATCTGAGTCACTCCTTCCAGACGTTTCTACATCTGGACACCTAGATGGGTCCAAATCCAGGAGGCTCAGGGAGCCAAAGGTACTTTGTCTACAAGAGAAAGGCCTACTTTGACTTAGGGGAACCCCTCCTGAAAGCCCTAGGCTTCATATGAGTCCTGGATCGACAACTTTCCAGGGAAACAGATGCTACTCCATCCTATGACTGCATCCTAAGAGAGACTTCTCAGTGGCCAGCTGTAGACTTGGAAACTAGTATGAAACAAATTCCATTAAATCTTGCTCTGAATTTCACAGTAAGTTCCTTATATTTACACTTGCTTTAATAAAGAGGTTATGCCACATACCTGAATGAAAGCATAACTTCTTTTTTAGAAAATTAATCTGATTCTGGGAAGACTAGTTGTTGGAACCACAGGGTCATAATTCTGGCACTATTAATCACCTTGTAATAAAAAACTTGATTGCAGGAATTGCTAGTAAGTATAAAATGCACATACAGCCTTAGGAGGGCTGGTCTCAAAAGCTTAACATAGTGGTGAGCACACTGGAGCCAGTGAGAACTATACAATGTCCTTTGCAAATTTCCAGCCTCTGCTCTTCCAGAAGGCCAGCAAACTGAAAGAGCTTATAGTTTTCAAGGGCAATCAAGTCACTGCCAATAAACTGTGTAACTAAAGATCAGTCAACATGGAATATTCGGCGTTCTCAGAGCCCAACCTTTCCAACCTGATGATTTTTTTCTGAACTATTTCCAAGGCGGATTTGATACATGTAAATATTTTTTTAAATTATTTTAACCTCTTTGGACATAATAAATGCTGCTATTTACTGTGTTCAGTTATGAAAATGTTCAATATGACACAAAGAAAAAAGCAAGGCTTGGGAAATTTTGTTATTCACAAATTTATCCTTGGGAAAGAAGCTAGGCCACCTTTCCCCTTCTGCTTATCACCTCTGGAGGTTCTCAGAGTTTCTGAAAGGGTATGGCTCTGCACTGCAGCTTTATACACAGGAGTTCCTGCTCTTGCATCCAGGCTGCCCAGCTAATACCCACTAAAGGGCAAACAAATTTTCTGAGAATGTTCATTCCCAGGCCAGCTGTCGTACAGTAGAGCTCATTAATCTTCTGTCATTGGCCAGATGGCACTATGCACTTAACTAGTACAGAAAGAAGGGTCCATTAAATGCGAGCCTGATTCTGCTGTCTGGACCCCCTACTCTGTTAAACCCACCCATGTGTCTTTACTGCACAGTGTACAAAGTGTAAACTCATGGATCCTTCTCTACTTTCAAGCGGAATAGCTAAAAAATTAGCACTGGAAGGAGAAGGCAAAGAGAGATGACATTATCATACACTGAATGTGAAGTTCCAGCTGAGTAATTTTACATCATTTTCCACCCTCAGGGTAAAATTTTCCATGACTATTGTTTAAAAAACCAGATGTGTTACTTTTTTTTCCCCCTTTTCCAAAGTATTTGGACACACATGTGGGAAACACCCAACACGTGATATGGCAGGTTTCTAGAGGCTTAGTGGCAACCGGGGGTACTACTAGAGGCAATCACAGGTACGTAAATCGGCTGACTGAAAGTATCTCTTTCAGACGATAATACTGCTAGATTTTAAAGGATTATTTGCAAAACAGCATTTTATTGTCTAACTAGAACATTGCTGGAAAACTCATTCATGAGCTAAAAATCTCCTCATGGGCACTGGCATAATGACGAACTTCCCAATAACCACAATTAAAAGTTCCTTTGAAAGTGTAACCTCTTTCTTGAGTCATATTGTTCAGGGAAAATGAGGGGTGAATGGGTGTGTGTAGAAAACAGTCTGAAGTTGTAAAAATCTGATTTGTCTATGGAGAGAAAGCAGTAGGGAGGAATATATATACCCTGTAGGCCTGTACTCAGATATCATCATGTTTCCACACTGGGACCTGGGCCAAGGCGCTGACAGCAGCCCCCTCCCACTTGACCCATGGGGCTCCGGGCTGAGGGAGGAGCCGCAGCTGTGGCGTCCAGTGAGGAGGGAGTGCCTCAAATGCTTGCGATGGAGCGGCTGCAGCCGCACCGGGGAGACTGCTGCCCCCAGGGCCCACCAGGCCCTGCCCCTCACCCCCGAGCCGGGGTTCAGGGCTTGGGGCCTCCAGCTCTGCCCTGCAGAGCCCTCAGAGCAGCGACACAACATCAGAAGGGACTCAGACTAGCAGGTGTGGGAGCAAGAAAGCTTTCACACCACGTGCCTCCCAGGGCCTCAAACCCCCAAGCCCATGACGGCTGCCGCTTTGGGAAAGTGCAGAAAGTCTGGGTAGCATCAATCCTATCTTCTGGTTTATTGAGCAGGGTCTGTCTGTGGCCTTGAGAGGACACAATGATCTGATCTTACTGTGATCCTTCTTTACTGTATAGGCCAAATGATTTAATGGACTGATATCAAAATGAAAGATTAAAGATATGATTTTCAGTAAAATATACAGCACCAAACAACGAGGCAGGCAGAGGACTTCTCCGCTCCCTGGAACACCAGCATGTAAAATAAGGTGAAGGGGGTAGATGAGGAGTCTCCTCTCCCAGGTGTGGGTAGAATAATGGGCTGGGACCTCACACTCACCTGCCTGTGGAGATGCACCCCATCTGCAGGCTGCAGGCGTGGTCCGTGGTCACCCGCATGCACAGGGGAGTGTGCAGGATGCTCCCCCAGCGAAAAGCCGCAGCATGGACTGTCGTTATCCCGGTCTGGGCCATCCCCCTTTCGCTCCCCCTGGACTCCAAGCTCACCAAGCCTGGGGTGGATCTCTGGATGCTCACTCTGAAAACAGCAGGAGACAATGATCAGAGCTCCACCTGAATCCTTTTGCTGTGTAACCTGCTTTTTACTGTTCCAGTGTAATTATCCTTATGGGTTATCAAGTCTTCCTTCTCCTTCCCCTAATATGCTCACTTTGGCCATTTCATTCATTGACTGCTTTCTCCATTTAAATAGCATGGAGCAGGCACCCACTTCCCTAGAAAAAATTATAAATTTTACTATTTATAAATTATTCAATAATGAAAAATTTTACTAGTTATAAATTGTCATTGCTTACAGTTATGGGTTTATAACTTTGAGGAGGAGGAGGACCTCCAAATTACTGATCAGTAGAAAACTTTTCAACTATTTCTAGGTTTTGCTTAATGATGAATTTCTATATCATGGATATTTGGAAGCAGACTGAATTAATTTTGGAAGACTTTCTTCTCCCCAAGGAAAGAGAATTGCCATTCTTCCCATTCATAGGATGACTTAAAATTACATACACTATTCACTAGAGTAAAAAGCAGACAAAAGGTCTTTAGGGGCTAAAAGGAAACCAACATTCACAATGCTTTGAAGCAGCTGACAAGCTAGAGGGGAGGATGTCCAGAGTACACCAAACACCAGCGGGTCCAGCTCTGCCCTTACCAGAAAGCAAGGCCAGGAAGGAAGTTGCAGAGCTAGGGCTCACTCTGACCTAATCTATATGAATCAACTAGAAGGCAAATGCCTCTATTCTCTCTGTTATGAATCTGCGAATTGAGGCATAAGAAAGAGAACATACACAAATTTCAGAGGTGGCAAAAGTGACCCTTGGGAGCTTAGCACAGACCCTTATAAAACTATATTGGCAGAACAGGCCCTAGTATTTAGGAACAAAAACTTAAATGGAAAGAAAGAAGAAAGATTTAGAACTAGGTGTGGGGAAAATGGAAGTTCCTATGGCCAGGATCCTCACCTGACCCTAAACTACTTGATGATGTAATTGGCCTGCTGCTAGGCTACTGCTTCCACACCCATAGGCAATGAGCTAGTATTGCCTGAGTCACTATATAAAGTGCTCTGGGCAGAGGCAGAAACAGAGGTGGATTACAGATCTGCAGACTGCTGGATGCAAACATGATTCTACTGCTTGACCTACTGCTGTGAGAATAAAGCTGGGTATAAATGCTTTTACCCAAGAACGTTCTGTTGTCATTTCTCAGTCTCACTGAATCCATAGTGAACTTGCCCGGGGCTGAAACCGTCAGGCAAGACACTAGGTTTTTCCAACTAGCAAGTAAAATGAGACAGTTAAGGACCTATGGGTGATAATGTTAATGAGTTTGTAAGTTAGCAACAAAAGAGATGGCAATACAACTTTGCTGCTGAAGGGAGTTACAGACCAGTATCCTTAACACAAGGGCAAAAGACAGCAAAGATTTCTTGGTCTAATTTTACCTGGACAACCCATTGCATTTCCACTGCTTGGACTGGACTTCATGAAATACAGTTGACTTTGAACAAGGTGGGTTTGAATAGCGTGTCCATTTATATAAGGAGTCATTTCAATAAACCTTTTGGAAAAATTTCCAGAGCTTTGCAACAAATTGAAAAATTTTCTTTAGTTTATTTGATCGTAAATAGGGTATGTAATACACACAAGACACAAAATACGTGTTAATCAACTGTGACGCTATTGGTAAGGCTACAGGTCAACAGTAGGCTATGCCTAGCTAAGTTTTGGGGAGTCAGAAGTTACATGCAAATTTTCTACAGTACAAGGGGATTACCCCTAACCACCATGTTGTTCAGGGTCAGCTGTAATTTGAAATAATAGAACATGAGTTTGTGCAACAGGGAGAGAGGGCAGTGTCTAGGGTCAAGAACAAAACATACATATAAATGAACTCTGCATGGGCAGGTACCTCCATGAAATCCTCTCCTTCCTCCTCTGTCTGTTTCCCCTGCCGCCAGTGTTTCAGTAGCCACCTGAGTTTCACGTAGAAAAGGAAAATGTTCTGCTTCAAGGAGCGGAGCTCCTGCTGCATCAGATTCCTCTCATCGCTCCAGGTTCGCTCATGGAGGGTGCTGTGCAAAGCCAGGCTGTGCATTTCTAGTTCTTTCCACCTCAAGGCATAGAGGTGCTCCTCTTCCATCTTGAATGGAAGGGAAGGGAGAGTGTGACAAGCAGCTATCCAGATTTGCTACCCAAACCAAACCCACAGTCTTTGCAAACTGCCATCTCTCTGCAGCATTCTGCATGTGGGATGGTAAACACAGAAGCCCCCAAAGGTCAGGACACTCAGGAGTTTTCTTTTTCAGAAGCAAGTGCTATTTCAAGGTAAGGTATTATAATTATTTTTCATTGTCAAGTCCCTCATGGTGTTTTTTAGATGTCTCTCAACTCCTTCAGGGCAATTGTTTCTGAAATGTATGGTTTACAGCAGATGTAAATGCAGGTCCCCTTTGCCATGTGTATGTCGGCTTGCACACACACAGGTGCACTACAACTGTAAAGAGGGAATAAGTGGAAATCCTTCCACTTGACTTCCTGAGCCCTCTGGTGCCCAAGTAGAAGGAGAACCCCAGGGGCATGGAGAGGCCCACAGAGTCACAGAGCAAGTGCCCTGGGGCCAGCAGGAATTCTGTCTGAGTGTGCAGCCCTCTACCACATGAGTGGGCAAGCAAACAGGAAAGTCATTGATAACCTACTTCTACGCCTAAGACCGCACGTTCTTATTAGATGCGGGCAACTCTTAGGGAGGTAAAAACATTGCCAAAAAAGAAATCTTTTCCCTAGATGTTAAACATTTAAGTTCCTGCTTTTCAACATGTGTGCAGGCCCTCTTCCAAGCAATAAACAATTACTATGTGTCGATAATAACTAAGCAAAAGGGTGTGAATCAAACCTTGTTTTATAGATAAGGGCACAAGAATAGTATCTACAGTAGTTAAAGTGATATCTGGGATCAAGGCTTTCTGTTCCATAGTCCAGAAAAAAGGGTCAGAATGCAGTCTTATCGTTATCAGCTGGTCTCTCCTAATTTACCACTCCCTCCTGTGCCAAAAACCAAGGCAGTGGGTTTTGTTTTACTTGTTTTTTCCCCAAAGTACTAGATTAATGTTCAGAAACCATGGGGATATGAATGTGGCTGCCTGAGGTCAACACCAATCAGTCGCTGTGCTAATGGCCAGTGAAGAGCAAGAGGCAGCTCTGGAAAGGTCCCTGGGGCTGCACCATGATTAGTGTGAGCATTGCTGCAATGCCAGATCTTTTGTGCACTTCAAGATGAAATAACATAAAATAGTGGTGACTTAATTCACCATCTCAGCAGACCTAGAGTCCCACTGAGGGACACAACAACAGGAAGGAGTAGGGACAGGGCAGCCTGGCACATGGGACATCCGGTGTTTGCAATTTACTTGCAGTGTTATCAAAGGCCATCGACTGACTCTGAGGGGACTTCAGCTTTCTCAGCTGCAAAGTGAAGCTATCATGAGGCACTGTGCAGAGGGCCTGGCTCACGGCAGGTACTCCAGAGGTGCTAGAGTATTAGCTGGTAGAGGGCAGCCCTTGGGGAGGAGCAGCTTTCTTCTTTTCATCTGCAACCTCCTTTAGGCATGTTCCTTCCTGACTCACCGTGACTTCTCCACCGCCCTTGCTGCCTCCTGTTCCATGACTGCAAGCACTTGCCAAGGCTTAGTCTGTCCTCTGCTCCCAGGGGACATTAGGGGACATCATCTCTTCCCCTCTGAACAAGCCTGGATGACATCTTGCCACCTCTGACAAAGGTCTGGTTAAAGCCTCTTAACATACTCCTGAATCCAAGCAAGTACTAGACATGGCTGAGACCCTGCTATTTTGACATCTGCATTCTCCAGGGATAAGCCCACTTGGTAAACATGATTTTTGGTGCAGTGAAAAAGAAAAGGAAAGAAAAAGTTAAATTACTTAGGGATCCACTTTCAAGTAATTTGAAATGATTCTCCTTTTGTAATAATATGTGAAATTTGACCAATAAATGAAACTTTTGAAAAGATGGGCATCTAGTCGTAAAGTTTGGTTGTTGAGAGGATATTTAGATCTTGGCATTCAGCTTTGCTCTGCAAGGTGTAAAAGGTGCTCTCTTAATTAGTTTTGACCTATTTACATGAGCAAGACCACAGACAACTTGGGGGCTATGTGGTACACACATTCCTTGCCAAAATAAGTTCTTGGACGTAGCCAGTGCCTTATTTTGCACAGGATTATGTATTTTAAAACATGTGGTACCCTATTCAAGATCACCTGGTTTTTGTTTTCAAAGTTATCGCTATCTTTCAAGAACAAATAAAAATGGAGAGAAAAACAGCAATGGCAATTCTGAGCCTGGATATCTGTTCACAACTTAATTAGATCTGGGTTGACAGGGATTGGACAGTCCCTCAGGGAGGCCTGCAGGCTGTGAGCACCTGTGTCTGCAAATCTCTTCTCCTAGCAACTCTGGGATTTAATGGATTAAGAATAATTAGCCGGTAACAGGTTGTTCTAAAATAGCTAGAAGAGTCAATAAGGCCACAGTTCAATTAATGGCAGTTTTGAAGACAACAGTTTAGGGTGAGTTGTTGATGTTTCTATCAGAAAATTTACCTAAGATTGACAAAACTTTCAAATCTGCAGGACCACAAATTTGCAGCTGCGCTCACATGTCCAGCTGCATTTAAGGCCCTTATTTTTATTTTACTTTGCTGGTTATGATTGCAGGAAAATTTAGGTATTAGGAAGAACTTCCTGAAACCATGATGTAAATATTGAAAAGCATGTTTTAGAGCAGAAAGGTACAGGTATCTTTATGAGATGTCTGAGGGGCAGCTCGCCTGGATGACCTTTCCATATGCCCTTGAGCCCTGTGAGTCCAGGAGTCTGTGTGTGACAGGCAGCATTCTTTCAAAATACATCTTTTCATCTCTCTCCAGGTGCTCTGCAGTCAGAGAAGCAGTTGTGTGAAATCCGTGTTAATATTTACCTTACGGATCTTGTTTGTAAATTTCTCTGTCTCCTCTTGATGCAGTCTGGTCGCCTGTGCAAGCTGACCCTGTAGCTCCTCTATCGATACACTCTGTTCAGGTAAAACAGGGGGGCCCCTGAGCTGATTGGTGGGATAAAGGAAGGGGTTTAGTCGAAGCAAGAACTCTGCCTGAGGTGAAGACGCAGGACAGACATCTGTACAAGCCAGGGACATACACGGAGCGACAGCATGTGCAGCAGTGGAGTGACTGCGGCGGCTCCCTCGAGATCCTCTCCTGTGCTCGTGGATTATGTGGGGGGCACTCCACCCGCCCTTCATCTCTTACCTAGGCAACAAAGCGGGCAAGTAGTGCCAATCACCTGAACTTCGACCACCACAGTAACCGCACACCAGGCTGCGAGAGGGCAGCCAGGGCCTCCCAGATGTGTCTGCTACTGCAGCGGCTTCTAGACAGGTTTCTAAAAGCTGGGGGTGGTCAGAGCCGGCGATTATGACCAACACAAGCATGACCACCTCACACACAGCCAGACTCTCAGATTCACTGCCCAAGTTCATATGTCTTTCTAAGCTGCATAATTAATATGCACATACGCTTTATTACTAGAGTTTTTCCTGCCCAGTTGGGAGCACCTTCCTTTTTCCCTCCCATGGTTGCCCAGGGTAATTGGGGTGGGGCTCCTTCAATGACCAGGAACATCGTTGTGGGCCTCTCAGTTGTATACATTGCTTAAGAGGAACTACACAGAGATGGGCCTATTAGATTTTAGGTTAAAAATAGTTAAAGGGGTTTAAAAAATTCTCTTTATTGGTAAAGTTGATCTTTTATGTCCAAACAGCAATGATAGAGAACTGAGAGCTACTACTTTTGAACCAACTGATTTTTTTAGAGATGGAAATGCTACTATACTAAAAATTTCAGGCATCACTAAAACTAAAGCATGACCTTTCATCTACTTGTTTATGCTGCTGAAAGATGGGGAATTTATAAAGCTAGAAACTATAGAGTGGACGGTTGCAATGAAAGTAAGTGTCATCTTACTGGTTTGTTCTGATTCCCTTTAGCTAATCTCCTACTTCTCACTGAAAATACTGTTTGTTCTTCCTAATCTGTTTTACCTGGGCTGTCATGAGAGAAAATTATACAGAAAATAAAAAAGCAGATCATGTCCCTTAGCACAGGGGATAACCAAGAGAGTACAGAAAGAAGGATGGAGACAGAAAATCAGAGATGCTAGGGAATCATCAACTTTGGGATAAAATTTTTGAAATCTGGAAATTTAAGCTCATCTTACTTTCAAGAAACTCAAGAACTACTTGAGATATTTATGCTCCCTTGATTTGCTAGTTAGTAGAGATTATTATCATAGTCTTTCATATCTACTAGGCAAGGTTTTGGGTTCTCTTTGAAGAGAGGCATTTCTCTACACATTGAATCTACTCCAGTGATTAATTTCTCATTCCTAAAAGTACTATTTTTAAAAATATTTGAGGTCTTCTACAATAATTACTTAATCTTTTCTCCTGTTTGCATGCCTTTCATAGTTTGGAACACACTTCTGATAATTCTAGAATCTGAAAGACCTCAAGCTAAATCCTGCTGTTGGCCAGTAGCAGACTCTTGCTCTACATTTGTGTTCTTGGCTTATGTGTTTTCAGTTTTGCATTGTGAATGCATCTTCAGAGGAGAGTTAGCCATGATTTTGTATGTGGCCTGGGTTGCGAATGTGCCTCTAGGTGGGCTTTGTGTTTGCAGAAGCCAGCAACAGAACATAAACTTTCCTCTCCTTGGGGACTCCTGAACCACCAGGTGACAGCAATTCAAAGCCTGACCCAGGTGAGGCCCGCTGTCTTTGCATTTACTTGAGGGAGACTTAATGCTGGTGGACAAGCTTCCCTGTTGCCTCCATCTACCAGTAGTGGATGTCCCTCCAGTTCAGCTTTTCATGGGGTGCAGCCCTTTGGGGGTCCCACTTCAATTTTCCCTGCCTGTGTTGGGCCTAAGGCCCTGTCTCCTATCCCCATGGAGCTGTTAAAACCCAAGGCTCTGGGTTACCAAGTCTGGCAACTACCCCCTTAACCCACCCACCTGAAGGTCACAGGTACTGCTCCGGTTTTCAATTCTGAAATCAGTCCAACCCTTGAAGATTTTCCTGACTTTCTTGGCAGTTCAACTATGTATTTAAAAGGTCATTTCATATTTTATGCAGCATTTTATTCAACAAATATAAATATAGCAGTAAATAAAGCTGCCCCTTCTGGCAGGTCAGGTGTTTGCACAACAGTGTTTTCAGTCACCCAAGCTGCTCTCCTGCTAGCTTTACTTTTCACACATTACTCTCTACATTTAAAATGTAAAATTCCCCCATATTTTAGCACATCTGGTACTAGTCCAAAACTCCACAGTATTAGATGTCAAAACAGGTATTCTAATCTGGCCTATCTTTTAAGAAAAGCAAAGACCTATTTAGTTTCTGCATATTATACTAAACTATTTAGTTTGATTTTAATTTTAATAAATAATGTATATAATAACCTTTTTTATTTTAACAAATATGTGAGCCTCACACTTCAATACTGTTTGGCTAAACATGTTTCTCAGTTTGAAAAACATCTTTGAGGGGTCACAGAAAAGGACCCTCGATATTCTAAGAAGTTGTTTACCTGGACTGTTTGATTTACTGACAGTGGCTCTGTGTCACTGGGCAACAACAGGAACTTTTAGGTCTTCCTCATCTATTAGATGTTTTACTTTCCTTTATTGTCTCCTTTTGCTAGTGAGATATCAAAACTTCTACAGACAACTAAATGCTCCTGGTTGGGATGCTGTCACTCCAATGTTACAAAAAAAACAAAATACAAACATGTTACAGCAAGTGTCAGTCCCCATTATTCCATTGTCATACAACTGCATACTGTCACACACATTTGGAGAAAGTTTTCACATAACACATAGATTTCCTCTAGAAAATAAATTTATTTCCCTTCATTACCGAATTCCCAAAGCTTTGATCCTAAAAAACAACCTTTGCCCACTTACCTAAGATTCTGATTATACTTCAAATTCATCTTGATCTCTCCCTGAGGGTGGTTTACTTAGACACCATCCTCAGTTGATCCTGAGGTTGTGGAGATGTACTAATCCCAACATCACAGACATTTTCCTGTGTCAGTGTTCTGACACCCACCACTCATGCTTCCCCTTCACGGTTGTGCCCCACACCGATTAACACTGCTACCATCTTCACAGAAATAGCTTACAAATTACTTCTCACACTTAAGAAGAAAATGGCACTATCTCAAGAAACAAGAAATAAAAAAGGGAATACTTGTTATTATAGCTACTCTGGTACCTAACCATGCTATTTACATAATAGGATTTTATTCTACTCCCATCCCCATGACTTCATTTTCTAGTGAGTCCCATTTTGCTCTTGCCAGTTTTACTCTTATTCCTTTCAAAAGTGGTGTCTGAGGTCCACACGTGTATACACATACTTGGCATAAAACCCCATGTCATTTTATCATGGCTGACAGCTGAGGCATAGGGATTGCAAATGCTTCGTGCGATTCGTTGATTAAAGGATAAAAGGAGGAGTGAGGGAAGAGAGCTCTGAGATTTCTGATCCAGAAATTCAATCTGTGGGCACAGGCTTGGTTTCATTTATACTTGAAATCTGACCAGTGCCCATGCTTGCCTACTTCTCATTCAAGACTATTTTTAAGGTGCCCCACACATTCCAAACCACATATTCTATATACTGTCTTAACAAATGGGAATCTGGCAGCAGATTTTTGGGAGCCACAGGGAGCAACGTCAGGGAAAAATCCGGTGTAAGCATTTTGCTGAAATCTGAGATGAATAGGCAACCGGAATATCTATCCTTGTAGTTGTTTTGTTTGTTTGATTTTTTTTCCCTGAGCAGGTAACTTCTGTGTGTTTACCTTAATGGGTTAGTGGATGTTAGCAGGTTCTGACTTCAGCTTTCTCTGCCTGTGACTGTCTTAGGAGTGCTGGGCATGGATATACCATTCCCTTCCTGAGCTTAGTGTATGCACCATCTGAGTGGCAGGTCTCCTACTACCTGGATTTGTTTTCTCCTGAGATGCTACAGAGTAAGAATGCAGATTTTCTTTTTCTCCTTCTTGTTATCACTGCTGCCACTGGTACCACTGCTAGTTAAATACTAGCAGTATTTAACTGGGCCAAAATTTCCAAATCACTGCAACAAGAGCTTAGCTTCTTTCTCTTTTCCCCAAATATGACCATCTCTAAGGTAAAATACATAGAAGGCATTTCACAAATGGAACTTAAGAAATGGATCCTTTTTTAAAACTTCAGCTTAAATACAGATTTTTCTTCTTTTAAGCTGTTGATACTAGGAGTCCTATCAGCCCCCCCACCCCACCCTAAGGAATTAGGGCAAAGAGCTAAAGGAAATTCACATGTGTATAGCAGTGGTTGGCTTGTGCAGAGATTTAGTGGTAATTTCAAGGGCAAGGGAAGTGGTGTCGAGAATACTGCTTCCCATACATCCAGCTTCAGCTTGGCCTCAGTCTAGACGCAAGTGTCAGTCTTTGCCTTTCCCCAGTGGCCCTCTGCGGTGTCTGGGCCACGCGCATGAGGCTTCACCAGGAGCAGCTTCTCTGTCATGCTGCCCTGCCAACTGAGGGGCTTTGTGCACCGTTTCTGCATTATAGCCTCATAGGAAAGTAACCGTGGGCATTTGAATCTGGGACATTTTCATTTAAAGACTTATTTTAAGAGTTCTGCTCCCTAGAATTGTCCGTTGTGTAACTCTTTAGCTCATGTAATATTTAAGACCAGACTGAGCCATCTGCCTGGGTAATGCCCACCTCAGGGACAGAACAGCTTCCCCAAGACCCTGACTCTACTGGGGATCTATGTTCAGCTCCCCTCCACAAAGGAAAAAACATGGAGCTACCAAAGTGGTTCTAGAATATATATTATCTCTAAAAAAATATTTTAAAATATAATGTGCTTGCACACAGAATTGAGTTTTCTTTTCTATGGAAAATGCCTTAGTGAATAAAAGAGTCAGGAAAGAAGGATGTTTAACTCCTGATTAGACTATTTCCTCTTCTAGGAAATGATACTCCTTAGACCTTGCCTTCCACTATGAGTCTTTTTACTACTCTTTTAAAGGAAACCAGACAGATGTTTAAAAGAAGAAACATATCTCAGCAAAACAGCGGGCCATACAATTAGCCAGCTGAATGACTATGCTTAAAACATCCCCAAGGGGAAGGAGCATTTGTTGGAATCTCTAGACCTAACAGGGGTGAGCTGACCGTCCCTGCTGCCACAGAGCAGCGCTTCCCATGGACGTCGGAAGGACTGAACCAGGCCTGAGCAGACTGCTCAGACCCAGTTCTACCACCAACCACCTGGGCAGATGACTGGCAAGGCACTTCATTCTCAGGGCTCATTTTTCTTATTCACTGAATGGGGAACTAGTCTGAGATCTCACATTCTCTTCTGAGCTATATTATGTGGCAAGCCTAAGTTGCCATATGGCACCAACTCACTCTGCTAATCTACCTCTTATGGAGGTTTATTTTCCCACAATGTTCAGTTGGATTCAACAAAGTATTTTTCTCTCTCCAAAATCGCTTCTGCTTTCTGAAACTACACAAGGCCTACATGTATGTGGCAAGTGATCAGGAAATGTATCGATGCCCCAGTGCAAGACAATGCTTTATGTTGGAGTTTAACTAAACAAAGTTAAGTGTGACAAGCCTTGAGTGATGCAGCCTGTGGGAAGGGAGTTGTGCATCAAAGAGAAGAGGGCTTCTCTATTCATCTGAGCTGTGTTTGTGGCACAGGGTCAGGAAACAGACAGTAAAAAAGGAGGAAGAGTTAGAGGGGCAAAGAAAATCAGTGCCACGACATGGGATGCTGTGACAATTCTTTGGCCTGGCAGTCTTCAACAAGGAGTTATCTCCTTATTAATCATATTCACATTGCACCACATTTAACATTCTTTAGGTCACTTTCTCAATCACTGCTCACTGGTTCTGACAGTCATCCACATAGGACCACATGAGGCAGGCAGGCCAGTATCTTTACTCCCCTTTCACAGATGAGAAAACAGAGACTTGCCTGAGAAACAGAGCTAGTAATGGACTATCTGGGCCAGGGCCCAGGGGCTCTGATGCCCTTTCCAGCCTTGATTCCAGAGCAGCAGGACCTCCCTGGCAGAAAGAGCTAGTGGTGCAGTGTTAACTGAAGGCTGGAAAACACATCTCCTGAGGTTTCCATCCTGGAGATGGATCATTCATTTGTAATGTACATAATTGTATTTGCTACTGGCCAAGCAACCAGCATTCTCAGATGGAAACCCTGAGTGGGGCAAGGGCTGGTCAAAGGGGCTCACTGTGAAAGTTCCACAGTGATAAGATACACCGGTCAGTAAATCCACATTTGGGAAAAAAACCAAATATATGATGTTTATTTTCACTTTTGGTATAAAACCTAGGAACATTTTACCTGCAACTTTGGAATGAGAACACACTAAAGTTGATATGCTGTGATACATATTCAACTCCATGTCCAAAGGCAGTGTTCAGAAAACATATTTAAAAGTTACAGATGCTTTCTCTGGGTACCATAAGGTTCTAACTGGGAGGGTCCCAGGCACCTTGCTGCTCTGTGGACTGCACATGGGGCTTCTGCTTGCTTTCCGGGAGTTTGGCACTGATGTGTGCTTGGCCCCTACCATGCAGAATGTCTCCTTGTCACATCTCTGTGCAGCCCCCAGTTATTCCCTCTGGATACCAGATGCCACCATCTCAGGAGAGTCTGGACTCTGCTCAGGTAATGTAAGGATGGTGGGACTTTAGAGGATGTTTCTGAAACTATTTTTGCTTTTATTTAAGCTTTTTGGAGACAGTTTTCACATTATTGTGTGCCCAGTTTATGAGAGTAGAGACATGCCATACTCTCTTACAGGACAAGGCAAGAGCCCCATTCGGAGCTATTCGGACTGTTGTCTGGGTCAGCGGCAGCCCCGCACACCCACTTTCACAGGAACTGTAGCCCAACCAAGGCGTTAGCTGCAAGCTGAGCCCAAAAGCTTGGGTGCTGCTTCACCCCAAGTGTCTCTGTGTGCTTCATTTCTAGCCAAACACCAGACCTTTTTGCTGAGTGAGCTTCTGTTTGCTTCCAGGTGTGAAGAGTACCCCCTCTTCTGCATCCCTGTCCTTTGGGAGCCACCAGGATGCCTCAGAACTGAGCGGTACATCCCCACTGGGCCTGATATGTTAAGAATCTTCATCTACACCTTTTCTAATGCAGACTGTTTGCTCTAACCCTCCAAGAACTTGCCTTAACCAGCAGCATCAGAGCTCGCTCCTCAGAGCCACCTGTCTTTCTGTCCTGAGTGGAATTTCTTACATGGCAAAGCTTTCCCTGACTAGACTGCTGACTACTGTTCCACACCACAGCATGTCCAGAGTGGCTGGGAGATTTGGGGACAAGAGGTTACTATAGCAACAGGGATTGTTGAAGTGCCCCCAGGTCAGGAACATACCCTCCCCCAAGCCCCAATTCTGCCCTGGACTGGAGTTCAGTCACTGGAAACTATAGGCTGGGCCACATGAGACACGGATAAGGACAGTTTCCTCCAGACTAGTAAAAGCGGTGCTTAGTTTTCATTCCTGCTTTCTTCACTGCATAAAAGGAGCCACAAAGTACTCACAGATGGGTCTCTAGGCCTTGCTGCATTTGCAGGTGCTATGGCCCCGGAGAGACAGGCCTACAGGCAGAATGATGCCCATCTGATGGGGCTCCTGCAGTCCACCTGTGCTCACCCTGAGGTGACCCAGTTCCAGCTGTGTGCGACGGACTTTGATTCCAGTTAAGTCCCACCTGGTTCCATGTCTTCCTGCCGTGTTTGCTAAGGGCCTGCAACTCAGGTGGGAGACATCACACAGCCAGCCACACAGCAAAAGGAGGGGCAGGGGTAGGGGTGCTGGTGGGGTTGGGGGGCCAACTTGCTGACCTCTAGGTTGAAGCAGCTCTGGCCTCCAGGCCGGAAGTTCCCGGCATCTCCATCAGCGCGGCGGTGCAGCGGCTCCTGTGGGGCCCCTCGCTCCTGACCGAACTGCCACTCCATCTGGTCCTTCAGTTTGGACTGTTAGGTGCATGGGAGGGATTGGTTTTTTTTTTTTAATTTATTTTAAATAAAAAAACCAAAGGAACAGAGGGTAGGGATGGGAGGGGGGGGATAAAGAAAACAGAAATGGGTAAGGTGGAGGACAGAAAATCTATCAGATGAATAAAAGCATGAACAGAAAACTTGATTTAAACACAGTGGCATAAGAAAGCAAAGAGAACAGAACCAAAATGAGATGAGCAAAACGATGGGCTGACAGATCCGAAAAGCAAGAAGAGTGAGGGGGAAAGAATGCGAAACACCAGTTATGAGGCGCATGCAACAGGGATGCACTGAATCAGAGACAACCACAAGCACACAGCTGTGAAGGATACGGAAACAAGGCTCCTCCTTCCTCGTCGAGCAGCAGAAGCCATGATCCAGGGTGGCAGCTGGGCCATGCACCCAAGGGTGACCCATAGGAAAGCAGTCCTTGGAAGGCTGGCCGCTCTGCCTGAGCCTGGGATGGGGAGGGCAGTGGGAGCAAGCTGGCAGCGAGATTTTCCGTCAAAACCGTCCTTCTCTGGAAACGTGCTCCTCTCCCCACTCTCTGGCACGTCTTCCACGGGGAGTGGTGTCCTGGTTGCCTGGGGCCTCAGGACTGTACTGTGTGCCTCCGGCAATAGCCCAAGTAGGGATGCAGATGCTCCCGAGCCAGTCTGCTAATTATGCTGACTGCGAAATGAGTTTCTACTTGGATTTACACTCCTCTCTGCTTCTTCATCGGGACAGCTGGTCGTCTGAGACACCAAACAAGGAGAAAGGACAGACTGCGACGATCCCTATGGCTTCCATGGGATTAGCCTTGCGTCATGAGGGAGGACTTCTAAGCCAAGAGCAGCGGTGCAGTTAAAAATAAGAGAGAAAAAAGGAAAAGGAAAAAAAGAGAACTAAAAAAAAAAAAAGAAAGAAACCCAACCAATAGAAAGAATTTGGTTGACTTTTGAGGCTTTAGTACAATGCAGGTTTGAAATCATAACCAAGCAGCCGTGAGCAGAATGAGTTCAAGTGCAGCAATGCCAGCGAGAAGGAGGAAGAGCAAAACGGAGCAGGAAGGCAGAGCCAGGAGCCCCCTTACCTGCAGGTCCGGGACCAGCTCCTTCCCCAGGTTCCCGACGGGGGAGTCCCGGGACATGGAGGTCACGGTAGAGAGGAAGCTGGAAGACTCTGTGAGGTGGGGCAAGGGGGACAGGCCTTCCAGATGCTCCCTCAGGCTGTCCCCGATCCGGTGCACCTGCTCTAGGAAGGCCTGGAGCTCTTTCCTGAAAGCCTTCACCCTCGAGTTGATGGTCCCCAGCGGCGGGGTCTCTCCCTTACCCCCCTCGCCCTTCTCCCCTTCCCCCTGGGTGCCGGGCTCCGGGGAGCCCTCGCAGCCCTGCAGCCCCACATTGTCCACAAAGTCGTCGGTGTCCATGATGAGGCGCTCCACGGTCCGCTCCAGCCGCTCGGCCTCACGCTGTATGCTCACCAAGCACTCGGAGCCCTCCCTGGCCCTCAGGAACTCCGCCGGACACGGCTCGCTGGCCCCCGAGGGCTTTCCGTGGCTGAAGCACGAAGTCTTCTCGAACACGTCCTCTGAGTCGCTCTCACCGCCGACGGGCCCTTCCCGCCTCGGCTGCGATGGGCGGCCCTCCTCTCCGTCGCTCTCCTTCTTGCCCGTGTCGCTGTCGGCGTCACTGTCCCGGGGGCTCGGGGCCCGCAGGCCCAGGTGGGCGGCCAGGTCGTAGCGCTGGACGTTGGACAGCAGCACGCGGTTCTCGTACTGCAGCTTCAGCACCTTCCCGCTCAGCTCGTTTATCTGCAGCCTCGCCGACTTGAGCTCCTCCTGCAGGGGGCCCCCGCCGCCCCCGCCGCCCCCGCCCTTGTCCGGGCCTTCTCTGAGCCACCCCGGCTCAGGCCGAGGCTCAAACTTGAACTTGCTCAGCTCGTGCGTCAGCTGCCGGTTGTGGTCTTCGATCTCGGATATGGACCTCCGGAGCAGCGCGGCTTCCTCCTCCACAAACTGCAGATGTCTCCGGAGCTCCGTGGACGACTCTAGAGAGTCCCCAAAAGGTGAGGTAGGAATGCCAGGGATATGGTCCCGGCCAGGCCCCTCTCGCTCATACTGGCTCCTCATGTCCTCCATCTCTGCTTTGAGACCTCGGTTCTCCACCTCCAGCTCCACAATCTTCCGGCCCAAGATGTTGGCTTCTTCCTCCACCAGCTTTAGCCGCAACTTCAGTTCCGCCTCCCTGGTGCTGGGTGGCCCACCTGCTTCCCCCGTGGGCAGTGGGCTGTCCACGTCACCATAGAGGGCCTTGTACTTCTGGAGCTCCTGTTCCAGTGCATCTTTCTCCCTCCCCAGCTTGGCCATCTTCTTGCGCATCAGGCAGCCTTCCTCTTTGGCAAACTGAAGCTGGCACTTCAAATCGGCACTGTCGTCCTGCCAGGAAAGAACAGCCCGAGAGAAGGGTTATTTGAAAATACCAAATGTTCGTGTGTTTGATTATTTCCCTTGCGCCTCGCCCCCAATGCACACAAACACAAAACACTGAGTTACATGAGGAAGAGGCCATGACAAAGTTGAGGTGAGCCCGGGGATGTGCCAAAGGCCCACAGTCTGCTGCTTTGTCCAGAAACAAAAGAAACCGAACAATTAGTTTGGAAAAACGTGCACATGAAAACCATCATACAGGTAATGAGTGAAGAGGGAGTGAATGAAATGAAACCCAGGGCCGTCGGTATGCTGTGATCCCTCCTTACTCTGGGAGACACCGGAACCCCTCGCTAAGCCTGGTGTAGGCAGGCAGGCTTCAGCAGCCACTTCCATCCACCTGTTGCCACTCTCTTCCTCCACAGTGCACACCGCCCTAATCCCAAGTGGCCGGCAACCCCAGGCATCTCCAGGTTGGGGAGGCCAGGTGACCCCAAATCAGAGCCCAGCTTTCCACTGATTTGCTGAAAATCTGAGATGTTGCAATCCGCCCCCCTGGTCTCCCCATCCCCAATGTAGCACAGGGATGACATGAGGACAGAAACATGAGATGATAGGCATGAGGGTACTCTGGAAGTTGAGGTGTGGAGTACGTACCAGGCTCTGACAGTTAATATGAACTGATTACTGCAAACCTGAAAACCTGGGTTACTCACAACTTGTCACCATGCAAGTGCAACTTCAGAGCCTTGGGTTATGTTCCACTACCTTTAGTTGCTGCAACACAGCAGGAAATTCAACTCAGAAACCCAAGGCAAGGAGTTAAGAGTTAAGTGTTTCAAAACCTGAGAAGTGGTTCTCACTGGAATACCAGGGGATTCTGGGGGGGTCACTGAAGCAGACTCTGCTACTAAAAGCCCCCACTGCTTGGCTGAGGTCAAGAAGGGCATTTCTGGACAACTGGAAAGACGACTCTGCCTTCCCGCTGCAGGTCTCAATGCCCTGAAGCTACATGAACCCTCTGATTTGGGCTTGCACAAATGTTTTACTAGTCACATCCAGTGAATGGGAAAAATGACCAAATTCACAAATTATTCCTCTTTCACTGGCTACTGGGAGTTTCAAAAGGCTGTCACAGGGACAAAAACTTCAGCAAAGACACCCCCCATCACACAGAGAAACTCTACGACGTGCCCAACATTAGTCACACATCATCCCAGGGGATGCGTGTCATTCACCTCTGGAACAAGTCAACCTTCTGGAAGGAAATACAACCTCTTTCAAATCACGTTTGCGCTCACATGGCCTCGAAGAGCTGATGCAGCTTTCACACTCGACAGCACAGCTCATTCTCTGCTGTGTTCTTGCCAAACGCTTCACCACTGGGCAGAAAGACACAGAACTCCCTTGGGGACCTCCCAACTTCCCTCCTTCCACTCTGCTTGGACCCCTACTCTAGGAAGGGGGAAAAATGATCTGACAGGAAGGACTCAAGGAAAAAATCTAAGGCCAACTGGGAGAGAGTTCCACATGGAAAGCAGGCTCTAGTGTCACCGGTGTGTCTTCTAAAGGACAGTACACCCACTGCCACCCTCTTGGCAGAGGATAAATCAGCCCTGCCAAGCTGGAGTCAAACATGCTGCCCTGATGGCACCATGGGCTGATCACAGAGCCCTGGGGCACTGGTCTCCTTCTGTTTAAAACAGGATCCCCAGTCAATGACAAGGTCATTGAAAAGGTCGAATGGTATAATGTACGGCAAAGTGGTTTGCACACATTAAATCTCCACACGCTAGCACCCTGAGATTAACTTTCTGCTTTGTCTGAAATACAATTAATATTAGGGAAATTATAGTAACTATTTTTTTTTCCTTTTTGTGCACTAGAGAAGTAACATAAATGTCACTGGGAGGACAGCATGGCCTTCATGTTCTAAAAACTTATCGTATTAAGGATTTGGTTTATTTTTGGTTAAGCAGACATAAATGATATATATATTTTAAAGGTCTACATGGACTTCAAGGGCTGTCAAAGACATTTAATCCTAATACTAAGGGAAAGCACACTTATTTGTTGATTCATTCAGTCTTTCAGTAAATATTGAGTACTGCTCTGCACTGGAAATTGGCCTACTACTCTTAAATGACCCTGGCTTTTATAATTTTTTAAAGTAGATCAAAAGCACCTTTTCAATTTTGTTAAACATAGATTTTACAAGAAATCTATGTATCCAAACACACAGAGATCTCTGTTGTTTATAGGAAGGAATGGAGTTTAATAAGCAACCATGCATCAATGGAGACAGAACGTCCATACTTTATGAATGGATTAGTTTGCGAATGACCAGCCTGGGACAGTAAGACAGGGCAGTGGCTGCAGCTCCATCATTGACTTGATAGCCAGTGTTTTTCGTTGTCCAAAATCACCTAAATGATCCTATCTACACCTTAAAGTAGAGAAATTTACCTTCGTGCCTGTGGACGGAGCAGAGATCATGGAATAGAATGCTGCCAGCCATAAGGGAACTCCCCCGTCTGCCCACCTCAAGCCTGGGCAGATCCAGGGATGGCAGGACCACCTGTCATGAGCAACGCCTGATCCTCCTTCCATGGAAACTCACACCTGGTGAGACCTTGCTGTGGAGGCCAGGCCAGAGAATGGCAGAAGGTGGGTGGAGTTACCTGCACAATTCAGGGAGCTGTTGTCTCAAACCAAGATCAGGGAAACTCAGGTGATCTCCCCTCAGTGTCTTTCCCCAAAAGTTGAACTGAGAAATTGAGGAGAGGGGCAGGATCTCTGAGATGTACATGGAACTAGGGCCTCCCCAAGGGTTCTGAAACACTCAGTTGTAAGTGTTTCGGGTAGAAATCCCAGAGCCCTTAAACCACCTGGATTTCAGAGACCTTGACCTTGCACCATCCCCCTCCACCCTCCCTTCCCCATAAGTCTGACCATAACCCAGAACCATTCTCCTCCACCTCCTTGAACCTAAATGTGGGTCAGTTAAAGAAGCAAGGTTCTACGAACATATGAAAATAAGTATCCAATTTGTAGATTACCTGAGGATTGATAAAATATCCAAAAAGTCTTCCTGTGCCTTGAAGAAAGAAACTACACACACACACCAGTAATTCTAACATGACTAAAGCATGCTGTCATCTCTGTTCCACACCCATGCACTACAAGGCCTGCCACCAAGGCTAAAGCAGTTTTTGAAAGAAAGACAATCTTTGAAGCCAAGGGAGTGCATGTATTTAAGGTCAGCCTTCCTCACTCTGGGTGGGGCACTGGAGCAGAGGCTGCACCAGCTGGGTTGACATGGTGGGGAGGAGAAAGGGGAGGCCCAGTGAACTGGGCTCAGCCTGTTCTGGGGTGGGAGCCCCCCCCCCCTAAGATGGGGAATCACAGCCTCAGCTAAAGCCTTGGGCAGCTGGATGTCTATCTCGTCTTGCAACTGTAGACTTTCTACAACTCTGCCAAACTCCAGGGGGAGGGATCCAGGCCAATCGTTAACTGAAGGATATGTAGCTCTGGTTTCAAGAGATTATCAGATAGCTCCAGTAATGCAGTCTGAAAGCAGAAGGGGGCTCAAACTTCTCATGTGATGTTGTTCCTGCTGCAGGCAGAGAATGCAAGCATGGCACAGAGGGGGACACACACAGGACCACCACCACCAGCAGCAGCAGCCAGAAAGGCCTTGTCAAGCAACAGAAATATATCGCTCTGGGTATATATTCTTTGGCTTGCCAAGTCTGACATCTAGCCAACACCCCCAGCGCTGACTACTTGCATTCCTACCTTGCGCCGGGGTGCCAGTTTCCTTTGGGTTTTGGTTGCAGACCTGCAGTTCCCAAGGTGCTCCGTTCCACCACTCTGCTGAACAGAAACTCCTTTCTCAATGACACTGCCCATGGAGGGGGAGCTTAGCACCTTCCTATGCCCTGGGTTTCTCAGACACTCCCCACAGGCGGCAGAGGCTGTGCCCAGCCTGCTGTACCCCCAGGTGAATGCAGTGTGTGCTGTGTCTCCATAGCCGGGAAGTGGTTCCCCTTTTAAGGAAAAAGATCTTCCCTGGTCAAGAGCCAGTAAGTTGAAACATACTCAAAGCTTGGGAGGACCCAGCAGTGGGGATGACAAACTTTAATTTCTGTTGTTAGTAGATGCCAAAGTGAGATTGGGAGTAGAGGGAGTGGGAGAGAAGGGTTGATCTTTGGCATCCTGCTGATCACATGGCCTGGCCCTCTTTGCAGGGACTACTGGGGAGTGTGGAGAACAGAGAAACCAAAGGGGCTCGAGTGCGGCCTTCACAGGGGCAGGCCAGACGTGCCCTCAGTCACCTGGACTCGCCATGTCGCCCTCATTACCCCCTGCCCTGAGAGCTCAGAAAGCTGATATCCCAATAATGCCTTTGTTCTCTGCAACCCCTAACACTAGCAGCAATGTTTCTTAAAAAAAGAAGAAAGGAATCCAGTAAAGCAGGTGTTGGGAAAACTAAGAAAGTCCTGAAGAACACATACCAGGTACATAGAAAGGGCTACAATTTTACCATCTTTAAGTGAGAACATTTCACTTTCAATTAGGCCAATTTCAGGTACTGTTCAGCTTATGCCTTCTAAACAAGTCCAACACTCAAAACAATGCCTTTTGAATGACCCAGTGCTGCAGGAGCCATACTCTTTCATTATGTGAATGACTTTGAAGGCCAAAATACCTTTTACCAGTTATGAATACTGCCAGAGCCCTGAAACCCGAATTGTGTGTCACACAAAGCCAGTTGTTCTCCTCTTTCTTGAAGAAATCACCAGCTTTTTTGGCTCAAGAAATGAATGGGAGGAGCTCCTGTTTTAGAAATAAAATTTTCACCTGAGGTAGGATTTGAATGAGTCCAAATTTTTTGGCAGGTAATGTTTCTTTGAATATTTGCAATATTAACCATGCTAATTGGCAATGTTAGCAATTTTTGAGAAAATTCAAAATGAGGGGATTGCCTCTTGAAATGTACATTAGGGTGAAACCTCTGCTTACCTGGTTAAATGTTTTCTTTTCTTTGTACATTTCCCGGCTGCCTCTTCGTTTCAGGGAACTCTGAAACAGATCCAAATGACATTCTGTTACTGAGGGGCCACATTCAGGAGCCAGCACTAGGTGTACATCATCCCCACTGGGAGGGGACATACTGGGTGGGGACACACACAATGGACAAAGGCTCTTTTTCTCACTGTCATCAAGAAAACTCTCAGAGTCAACATTTAAATGCAGTTGAAAAAGCTTGGTGAGGTCTTTAAATTCTAATTATAGTATTTGGGGCATCCCTCAAAAAAAACAGGAGGGTGATTTGGGCAATTTGTAACAAGACAAGAAGAAGATAAAGGCAGGAAGTTTCAGAAATAAGTATGTAATATTTCTGGGGCTGCTTTAGCTTCCTAATTAGCTCTGTGTGGGTTAATGTCAAAATTAATTAGTGTTTGTGGAGTGCCTATGGGTAAATGGACAAATAAAAAAGGGGTAGGAAGGGAGAGCAGGGTGACTCTTGTTTATGCAGAAACCTAATGTACAGTGCAACATTCTCTATGAACATCCCAATGCAATTCATGATTAAACCTACATCTTAAAGATCTTATAGAGGTCATGATTTTTTCATATGTGAAGTGACCTTGGCTGTGTCCTTCAGTGGGCTGGGTCCCTGCCTAGTTTTATATGTATTACAGTGGACCTTTGCTTAATCTAGGTGAGAAATGAGTCTGAAATGTAAACACAATATAAATACAATGGCCAAGAGATGTCTGAAATAGACTAACAGGGAGCTGAGACAGTTCCTGCTAAAGTAAAGTATGAAGACAGAAAGAATAGCCTGGAAGAAGAGAGAAGCCTCCTAGGGGCAGACAAGGAACTGGAAACCTGAAAAGATTCATGTAATCCTGAGGCAAGTTAGAAGAGCGGCTTGGAAAGGTGAGGTGCGCTGACACCTCCTGAGACCCCGGCAAGCCTGTGAGAGGGAAGAGCTTCTCCTGACAGCCGCCCCCACACCTGCCCTGGCTGGGGCCAGGGCCTGGGTCCTCTCGGCCTCAGAGCCCTCCCTGCTTCCTTCCTTTACTGCAACCCACACACCAACACAGCTGGGGAAGGAGGCTCTTCTGAAAGCCACGTACAGGCAGACCTGCTGTTGATTTACTTAGTTCTGCTTACATTTTGAGTGTCTCCCTCTCAGATGGCAAGGCCATGACATTTATTGGATGACTTGTAGGGTTGAGAAATAAGTATAATTTCATCTACCCCTTAGCCTCAGGAGGCTGGGAACCTGTGGAAAAGAAGGTAACTGAGGAAGGGATGAGGTTTCAGAATCAGCATGGGATGTGGGCACTCCCAGGGCAACCAAGGGGTGGGGGTGGAAGCTGGTCGCTAAGCTCCCATCGCAGAAGCGGTTTTATTTCCTTTAGCCTTTTCAGTGAAAGCAGGTCAAGCTACAAAGAGAACTGGTCTCCTCCAACAGGTTATGTTAAGCCTGTCTTAAGAAAGACTTGAGTTTCTCTACCTGTACAAAGTAGGTTTTTCCAAGATTCTTCATGGGGCAGTAAAGGAATTTCTTTGATTCGAATGATCGGAGTGAGATGAACACTTCTCATGATTCATTATAGAGAAGATTTACAATAAAAAAGTGGGGAGACAGGCTATTCCCAAGGTTTCAACCTCAGGGACTGAATTCTGGGACCCTGGTAGCAATCCAGGCCTGTAGTGGCCTGCCTCGTGTGAGCCACCCACACTGCATGTCATTCTCCCAGTGAACAGAAAACAGAGTGCACGTGCTGAAAGAACACTATCTAGAAGTGAGACAAAAGCCAGACGTGTCTGAAAATCTGTGCAGCATCACAGGTCGCTGCTTCGGTGCTGGAGGAAGGAGCACATTCTGGGGGAGCCCTTCCACTGGGTGGGGGCCTGTGGGGAGCCTGTGTACAGATTCCTCCCACTACCTGATGGTCTCTGCCTTGCTGGGCCCTGAGTACAAGTGTCTCCAAGTCCAGTGAACCTTTAGCAAGTCATGGAACAGGCAGGAGGTCTTGGGACCCCCAAAACAGATCCCAGTCACAATGGCAGCTACAATGAAAATCACTTCAAGGATTAAAGTTATCCAGAAATTTACAGGACCCATGTGAAAGCAACCATAAACTGTTGTGATGGGCATAAAGGAATGCTTGATGTTGTTGATGACAAATGTGTTGTCAAGCCATCACATTTCTCCCACGTCATTTAGTAGGTATGATGTCACTTTAACCCAAGTCTTCTCTCTTTCCCCCATGTGTACGTAATGTATATTATCACGTAATATATGTACATACACAAAAAGTATTATTTGTGTGTGTGAGTATACATACTTTTTGTGTATCTGTGAAGGAGGTAAAAGGATAGAAGGCCTTGCCTGCACTTGATTTGTATCTCGAGCAGAGTGGAGCAGGAGTAATGAACCATATGACCTGCAGAGCCTGAAATACTTGCTATCTGGCCCTTTTCAGAAAGTTTGCAGACCTCTGATCTAGAAAAATAAATTGGCAAAACCAGCCAAGAACACTTTGAAAAAGAAGAATGATAAAAGTAATTTTGTACTATTAGATATAGAAGTAACAATATACTTGTTTAGTGCTGGTACAAGAACAGACAGATCAGTGGGACAAAACAGAAAGCTCAGAATTAGATTCAAAAGTGTATGAGATTTTAACAGTTGAAATGGGTAGTATCCCTACTGCACTCAGCACTCCATCCTGCTGAGAGTCTCGTCCAGGATGGAGTGCTGAGCACATTAGGGATACTAGCCAAGGAACCCTGGGTGTAGGATGCTTTGTGTCATGAGTGTCATGAGTGTCACTCATGACCAGTTCATTCTTCTGGATGACTCGGAGATCCAGTGGCGTCTCTTTCAAGAAACAATTAAAGGAAAGGAGGAAATATAGACCACCAAATAAACTGAACCCAGAGGGCAGGACTTGCCTGCAGACTCATTCCCTCCTTGCTCTTTAGTGTGGCCAACTGCCAGCAAATCAATTCTGAATTTCTATTGAAATGGAAAAAAAATTGAGTTTGTGAATCCAAACTGAATCTAAGGCTGATGCATTTGCTGAGTACTGAAAATGATTAAATAAAACATGAAGTTAGGCAATTAGATTGCATGTCAGTTCTTAATGTTTCTAAGTCAGCCAGTTTCTACCAAGCAATTTCAGAAAAACCAACAAGCTCTCAGTTGCTAAAGTGTTTCAGAGACAGACTTTAGGCTTAAAATTTGGATTGGTAATAAAAGGAGACAAAAACTAGGATGCTGCAAATTATGACTCAGTATGGGAAAGAGGATACAGCCGTAAGCAGATGACTTCCAGAATTCTTACAGGTTCTTATTATTTAGAAAATGGCTTGGGAATTGGGGGCTGATGTACAGCACACATAGTTATAAAAACAGAATAAGAAAATGAAGGTGCTTAGATTTTCCTTTTCCTTTTAGGAGGAAGTTATCAAGATTCTCTCACCCCTATTAAAATTCTCATTTAAGTGTTGTGAGATGTGAAGGATAAGAACTACAGTTGACCTGGGTTTGAACTGTGTGTGTTCACTTACACATGTATTTTTTTCAATAAATGTATTAGAAAAATATTTGGGGAGTTGCAATAATCTGAAAAAACATTTTCCTTTCTCTAGCTTACTTCACTGTAAGAATACAGTATATAATATATGCAACATACAAAATATGTGTTGATTGACTACTTATGCTATCAGTGAGGCTTCTGGTCAACAGTAGTTAACTAAGAAGTTAAGTTTTGGGAGAGTCAAAATTTATATGTGGATTTTTGACTGTGTAGAGGGTCAGTGCCCCAAGCCCCTGTGTTGTTGAAGGGTCACCTGTACTAGCTTCTTTACCTAGAAGCACCAGGTCCTGGCTGAAAGACAACTCCTTTTCTTCCCCTCCTCTCCATTCTCCCCTTAAACACTCTCAGAGAGATTGGTTCCCTTCATGCCCCAAAAGTTGCACTCTGCTAGCAGAAGTCAGCTGTGCCATTAGACCCAACAAACATAACCCGCCTTGGATTCCGCAGAAAACCCTGAAGACCATATGGGAAGGAAACCCTTTCTCCCTGGCCCTGTTTGGGAGAATAATGATGATATTAACAATTACCATTTGTTGGACATTTACTCATACCAAGCAGAATGCTAAACTCTTCTTTACACATTTAACGTAATTCCCATGAGGGCCCTGAGAGACAGCTACTACTATCAGTGATTAACAAACAAGAGAACACAGTCAGAAGTTAGGCAATGTTTCCAGGTCCCCCAGGTTTGGAGATTGGGCTCCAGCCTGACCCTGACCCACACCCTCACTGATAGTCACAGTGCTCCAACCTTGCAAACCGCCTTCTAGGCTTCCGGCAGCCCCACCTTCCAGTCTGGGCTCTTTTTCTTTTTGTTTTCTTGAGGTTTCTGAGCCCCAAATTGCTGAGTTTTCTCACCCAAAGAGTCTCTCTTTTCTTTAGCACAAAGAACTATTACAAGAATGGTTGCAAACTCCTTCACTCATGAGGTACCTCATGGCCCTGAAACATTTGTTGGCATTTTTGATAATTTCTGAAAAGGATCTAAGGCTGCAGACAGAAGTCCTTATTTGGAAAAGACAGAAAACTTATCAGAGGACAAAATGCCACAGAATAAATGAGGAGAAGAGGAGATTATATTGAAACACTTTGGCCACAGAAAGGTACAGCCGTAGAAGTCAGAGCTGGTTTGAGATCCCAGCAGCCACGATAAGACGGGACCAGGAGGGCAAGGCCTGGGCACTCGCCATACTGTCCAGGCTGTGAGGCCCACCTGGGGTGGACAGAGACCACTGCACACCCAGCCTATCAAATGCCACTTTCTCCTGGGAAATGAACACAGTGACAGAGATGACAGAGTACTTCATGTGCACATTTGGGGAACACGGCACATACTGGCTTTGCAATAAGGGCTGGTTATTCATCTTAAGCCTTAGGGACATATGTCTTAAGGCTTAGTTGTTGGGAAATTGCTGGCTAAAACATACAACAGCACAGTTGTCTCAACCAAAAATCACA